AATGATATCGATGAAAAATGCTGTCAGTGTTGGGGTCGAGACGACAATATCGTTGTCAGATTGCAGGAGATGCGCCCGACTGCGTAAACCGACGATTCGCGTGAATGAGTGTCGTCAAACCACCAATTGAACTGGACAGGCTTTAGATCGTCGAGTAGTTGAACAGCCGATTGATGTACCGAAATCATCTATTAGATAACAGTCACGCGGAAACAATACTTCATAAGATGAAAAAATACGACGTCGAATTTGAATAACTACAATAGTTCGGATGTGTTGTAATGTCACATCGAAGTAACATCATTTCGTATACTGACAATTGTACTGAACGTTCGTTTGGGCATTGTTTACGTAGCAATTGGATGTGCAGTAGCAAACATATACGAAGACTATCGTGGGGTTCGTGGAGAATTTCAGAGGACGTTTAGCTATTTTCCAAACCCGTATTGCATGTGAATAAGCCGAAGACGGAATTAAAGTGACTTTCGTGCAATAAGGAAATCGAGCCATGATTTACTGTGTGAGATAACAGCATATACAAAGCGCATAGTAAACATTAATTTAAATGGTAACCACCAATGTAACTAAAGTTTAGGTTTAGATAACGTGATCGTTTCGTAAAAAGCATATTATCTAGCGCTGAGTGACATCAAGTACGACGAAGTGTCTCATTAAGACATGGACTAAGATTTCCCGTGTACGTGAAATACGTTTTTTCGGAATATGTTGACTTACGAGTCATAAATGTACATATTTTCGACTAAAATTTGACGGCAGTGACAGAATGTATGACTACTCTAGGTGAAAGTAGCCGCGAAATGTTATTAGACATCATAAACATTATACGAAATTAACTAACTCAATTGCGAAACTCGCCTGGGTTACTCTTGCTCCCAAGTAATTGAAATTTGTTGATTAAATTCGTAGATTAACGAAGCGTTGTAGACTGAATTGGTATACGTCCAAATTTAATTTGAGCCAAACACGTAGCATTGCCTGGCGAAACAGTCTAAACAAGATCTAATATTGCAGGAAATTTATAGTTCAAACTCACTGTAAATTTCTAGCATTCGTATCCTCTGATTCACCATGGAACTCAGCAATTGAAAATTAGGCAGGCAGTGATCAAGAAAGTAAAATATTCTTGTAGGTAGTTTCTGATAGTAGTTAGTTGATAGTGATTAAGCAGAAAGATGAATTTATAATCGACAGTTAATCCTGTATTGGTTATACAAGTGAATAATTTGCAAACAGATATCCGTTCGTGTTGCCTTGAGTCTATACTTACGAGTGGTTGATATTTTAACAGACATATTAAACAGGAGCATTTACATGCTGCTAATGCTTGTTAAGGAACCACGATAGTCGATTATAGTCGTAGTTGATTGGTTAGTTCTATCGATCGAACAGCCCCCAAATTCCCTGGTACGGCCGAGAGTGGGGAGAGTCTACTCTCCCTCTCGAAATGCTCTCACATGGCCAGCGAATATATAGCCCCTGCCAGGGAAGTCCTACTCACTGCCTTCTCGTGGCGGGGGTGTTGTTTACGAAAGTGAGAGGACGAAAAGCGAATATCCGGCGCTTTAACCGGGTTGGTGGACACGGAGGGTCCACCTAGGGGAGTTGGAAAACCCTGATTCCAAACCAATGGTGCACATGGGCTCCAGTATCCTGATGGAACGAATGGCGGACGAACCTGTCATTGGTCAACGGCTACCATGGGACTGCATCTTCTCACGATGCTCCACTGCCTTGTGGATCGGACCTTTTGGTCAAAGGCTCGGGGTGTGGCCCCCTAAGAAAACCACCTGCTTCGGTTTGGGCACCCGGGCAGTATCACAGCCCACACACAAATGAATGAAATGATGAACTCTATTGACGATTCTATTCCTGCTCATATTAGAAGCAAGACAATTTACATTATTATTATTATTATTATTGCTTACCATATCGCTAATTCACCCCCTTTTATCCCCAATTTGTGTAACCTTACTTTTCAACTTATGCAGCAGCTCGCCCATGGTGGAAAATCTGTACTATCTAAACGATCTCCAGTCACTGTCTGGTTGAAAGTGAATGCTTCCACCGATTATGAATACTGAAGCAGTCTTTCTGAAACCACGTACGCCGTTCAAGCTGGCTTCCTTCAACGTTCGCACACTAATGCAGATCAGACAACAGATAGGGCTGGCTATGTCATTGGAAGGTCTTAATATTGATGTTTGTTGTCTATCCGAGACCCGTATTCAAGACTCTAGTGAAGTACTACAAATCCGCTCTCCATCTGTCGCCTCGAAAAGCTTGTTCCACGTGCGCTTATCCGGGGACTCTGTGGCATCTTCATCTGTTCTTGCTGGCGTTGGTGTCGCACTAAGCTGTGGCAGCACTAATCGATTGGATCCCATTAACAGTCGGTTATGTGCCGTTAGATTATAAAGTTCCATCAAAGTGAGAAGAAATCGGCGTGAGAAACGGTGTCTTTTCGTCATCTCCACCTATGCCCCCGACAGATTGCAGCCCGGATGCAATCAAGGATGAGTTTTACCATCAGTTAACAGTTCTTCTCCAGAAAGCGCGTTCGACAGATATTGTAGTACTAACCGGAGACTTAAATGCACAGGTCGGGCGTCTAGGCACAGAAGAGAGTCTTTCAGGTGGCCGATGGGGACTTGTTGGTCGCAGGACAGATAACGGGGACCGTTTGCTGCAACTGTGCACAGACCACAACCTGTTTCTGGCCAGCACTAACTTCCGGCACAGTCATCGCCGGTGTGCTACCTGGCGTCCTCCCTCTGCATCCCAAGCCTGGACTCAGATTGATCACATCGCGATCAGCTACCGCTGGCGTGGTTGTGTACAAGATTGCCGCTCCTTTTGGAGTACCTATCTGGAGTCTGATCATGCCCTGGTCTGCGCCAATCTCACCTTACTTTTCAGTGGCCGAAGGATTGACCACCACCAACGGATTGATATTAGTAAATTGGCTGCAACTTCTGTTGCAAGTAAGTATCGAGCGGAGCTAGCCTCTAGGCTAACTACCACCCCACCGAAAAGTATAGAGGAGCATTGGTTGCATCTTCACGACGTCATGAAAATGGCGAGTAAAACCGCTTGCGGCTTCGCAAAACGTCCCGCTTACAAGCACTGGGTTTCTTCTGGCTCCTTACAACTGATGGAAGCCGGTCGGTCTACTCCGGGTGACCGTGAGTTTGACCACAAACGAAGGCTGTTACGTAATGAAATCGGGCAAAGCCTGCGTAAGGACCGGGAAGCCTGGTGGTCGGAGCGTCTTGGACGATGGGCGGAATTTTTGGAAGGGCATTTCAACTGGCCTGCTGCTCCGGCAACATTATCCACCTTGTCCTGCCCCTCATGGCCGGTGACGACTGATCCACCAAACGAGGCGGAAGTCCGCAAGGAACTCCAACTCTTGAAACGTTACAAATCACCTGGCCCAGATGACTTACCTCCGGCTCTTTTTAAAGATGGTGGTGACTTTCTGACTAAGGATTTGACTGTGTTGTTTGGAAAGGTTTGGGAGCAAGAAAGTGTTCCAACATCATGGAATGAGTCAATAGTCGTCCCTATCTTTAAAAAGGGTTCACGTTGTTCCTGCAATAACTATCGGGGGATAAGTCTACTTTCGATTGCGTCCAAACTATTGGCTTCTATCATTCTTCGTAGGTTGTTTAAAACCCGAGAACGATTGACTCGCGAGGAGCAGGCTGGTTTTCGTTCTGGTCGAGGATGCATTGATCACATCTTCACCCTCCGCCAAATGTTAGAACACCGTCATACTTATCGCAGGCCAACAATCGTAGTGTTTCTTGATATCAGGGCGGCCTTCGATTCGTTGAACAGGACTGTTCTCTGGGATTGTCTATTGAAGAAGGGTGTGCCTGAGAAGTTCATTAACATCTTAAAGGCCCTGTATACGAACACCTCAGGCAGAGTGAGGGCATACAACCACCTTTCTCCCTTGTTCCATTCGAGCAGTGGGGTTAGGCAGGGTTGCCCAATCTCACCATTCCTCTTCAACTTTGCCATCGACGACATCCTGGAAACAGCTCTGATGGATGTAAGTAATGGCGGTGTGGATCTGTTGCCTGGAGAACGACTTCGCGACCTTGAGTATGCGGATGATATTGTCTTACTGTGCGATAATGCCCAAGGTATGCAATCCGCACTCAATCAGTTGGCAATCAGTGTCCTCAGGTACGGCATGTGCTTTGCACCTTCGAAATGCAAAGTACTCCTACAAGACTGGCAGGATTCTAATCCTGTACTCGCCCTGGATGGTGAGCAGATTGAAGTAGTTGAGAAATTCGTGTATCTAGGTAGCTACATAATTACTGGTGGTGGCGTGTGTGATGAGATCGATGCACGTATAAGGAAAGTCAGAGCGGCTTATGCCAATCTGGGCCATCTTTGGCGCCTTCGTGATGTTAGTCTGGCTGTAAAAGGTCGGATCTACAACGCGTCGGTGAGAGCAGTTTTGCTCTATGCTTGTGAAACCTGGCCTCTCCGAGTTGAGGATGTTAGACGTCTCTCTGTGTTCGATCATCGTTGTCTCCGAAGGATTGCTGACATCCAGTGGCAACACCATGTTAGTAATGCAGAGGTTCGGCATCGTGTGTTCGGGCGCAGAGACGATAATTCAATTGGTGTCACCATCTTGAAACACCGACTTCGGTGGCTTGGACATGTTTTACGAATGTCGTCCCAGAGACTTAGTTATAACTTCACCAGATTAAGGAATGTTTGAACGATAATCTTTAACTACTCAAATGACATTTCAGTAGTATTTCACTACACAAATAATTGTGTTCATATCATTCACTGTACTATTATTATTATTATTGAATTATTCGGTCGGATAAAAATAAATTGAGTTCTCATTAGATAATAGAAATGATGATTGAAATTACCAAGAATAACTGACTATCACTGAATCTTTATCTGTAATTGAAATAACGGACCCCATCATAACAATAATGTGCATGATTGATGTAATTATTATTAACATCATCATCATCATCATCATCATCATCATCATCATCATCATCATCATCATCATCATCATCATCATCATCATCATCATCATCATCATCATCATCATCATCATCATCATCATCATCATCATCATCATCATCATCATCATCTCATCATCATCATCATCATCATCATCATCATCATCATCATCATCATCATCATCATCATCATCATCATCATCATCATCATCATCATCATCATCATCATCATCATCATCATCATCATCATCATCATCATCATCATCATCATCATCATCATCATCATCATCATCATCATCATCATCATCATCATCATCATCATCATCATCATCATCATCATCATCATCATCATCATCATCATCATCATCATCATCATCATCATCATCATAATAATAATAATAATAATAATAATATGCTCGATTATAAATTTATTATATTTCAATTACTACAAACTCATCAGCAAACGCATCAATGTCCGACTAATTTGACTGTTGTAAGCCATGTTTAACAAATGGAAGAAAAGCATTACATCGGATCATAGAAGTAGGAATAATGCCCGTCAACTGAAGTGACGAGCTTTAGATCCTGTGAACTGTATTATACCCTTAAACCACTGACACAGCATACAACGATTTATTAACTGATATCAGTTAACGGGTGATGTGGCACAATCAACCTGCTTTTGCTGAGCTGTCACAGATTAAGATGAACCGCGGTTCAATACTTCATGGTTTTCAGTGGTTTTCGAGGTTGTATTAGTTCGTGATGTTAATTCATTTCAACGATCAGTACAAATCATTATTGATGATAGGTAACAATTGTGCATTATTTATTACTTTTGTAAAATAACAATGTTAAGTTCGATTTAGTTCATTGTCACTAGGGTAAACATAATTTCGTTTTTGTTCTTTTTTCGTTTAACATGGCTATGTCAATCAATAAATCAATATTTTATTGATGGTGAACATAAGAATATCTGGTAGCACAATGTTTAAAAGATCAAAAAAGGGGGGGGAAAGGATAAGAACAGAAATCAATTGATGTGGAAATGTAGGAACACATGAAATCCGAGATAGTTGATTATCAATTTTGCAAATAAACAATATGCTGTATTATTATACAATTCATAGTATGAAAATGTGTTTCTTTCAAATGAATACATATATTATCTCTACTTTAATTTACACCGTCGGGAAGTTCGAGAAAGTTCCTATGAATATTCTTTTCTGAGTCTTAAGCTAAGAAAGAGCATCATGACTTTGTGAAAGGTATACAAACTGGTTTGTCTAATTATGCTGTGGATTGTGTGCTGAATTATAATATATAAGTGAATGTGCATTATGACGAAGTGAGTGTGCATACGCAGTTAATAAATATGAAAAAGAGTTCAACGTCTGTGTCGATGTTGTGTTATCTGAAAGCAATTAAAGAGTGGTTTGTATTAGATATCGGAACGTTCTGAACTATGGTTTAAGCGCTTTGTGGCGTTAAAAGAATCAATGAATTTTTCGCAACCGCAAATGAAATTATTTTCATGCATGGGTTCAATTCAGTTGATAAGACAATGTTTGTCAGACAAGCTGCCTATTATCTGTGGTCATACATGGCCTGAAAAATGAGAGAACTGATCAATTTTGTTTGTCCCTTCGACATATACATACTTAAACACATATTTGTAATATCAGAAACATTCCGAAAGAGTGATCTATTACTGTAAAGTTCCGTCCATAACTCGTATTAAACTACAATTGACATTCTGTCAACACGACCTTTTTCACATGTTTGATAGCATTTGAAATGGATTGCAGTGAATCTATTTTTGCTGCAAAACTAACTTACGATTCTTCATAAAAAACTTTAATAATTGACTGAAAGACCAAGACAAACTCCAGTTGCAAATGGTTCAGTGTTGACTCAAAAGTATGTAAGCTACGAAAAGCTGGAATTCAATATACAAAGCAGGAATCTTATCTCACGAAAACAATTGATGTATGCAACCACCAAATCTTGATTGAAAGAATGCGGAACGAGTGTGATGTCGGTGAAGATAACTGTGGTTTAGATCATTCTTAAGACAAAGCTTTGAAGGAAACCATTGACCCTATTCTACACATATCAACAAAAAGATCATAGTAGAAAACCTAATCAGTCTTGATGACACCTTTTTAACCATAGTTTGTCAATCATCATTTACTAACGAAATATGGAAGTGTTTATCTAGGTATTGATAAAATGTTTCGACAGATCACTTTATCAAATTTAGCATTCACACGGAACTCATAGTTGACTGCAATGATCACAATATCACTTATGTGCAATACTATTTATCTACGAGTTATTATTAGCCTCTCTAATCTTGTCGAATTCTTTACATTGAAGACTATTACATCGACTATTTGGTTATGAATGAGTGCATAAGTGTCTGTGACAATTCATATACAGATACTAGGTATATCATCGGTCGAGATCTTAAGATTTAGCAGTTTTTTACTAAATGTCAAACATTTATCGAGTGTTCTTCCGCTTCTTCAGTTTTCTTTCATGAGGTTTTCACAAACTGTTAAGTTTGTCTTACATTGTTCTTAATCGCTCTCCTTCCACTTCTTTGTTTATTGTTTTATACTACTTATTCACATTCAGTAAGCAGTTGTATACTTGACAATTTTCACATTTACATTGTAACGCAAGTTGTACTGTAACATTCGGAAACGTTCCCATATATTTATAATGTTTATTGTACTTATCATTGTATTTGTCATTGTAATTACTGTACTTTAATTACTGTAACGAAGTATACAGTTTAAATGGGCGGAAGTTGCAGACAATATTCTAAGAAGAAGGCTAGAACCCAATTTTCATGATTTGTTGCAATTCTTGGAAAAGAAAGTGTCAATCGCCACGAACACTTATGGACAGTTAGCAAGTGGGAGCTACAAAGCTCAAACGACATCGAACAACCGGTCTGCTTCTATTAGAGCTACGATCCATACATGGTCGAGTAAAGGAAAAGTTCATTGTGTAATTTGCTCTGATACCCACGAAGTCGTATCTTGCCCACAACTGCTAGCAGTAAGACACAACGAAAGGCTAGAATTACTGAAGAAGTTTAAACTTTGCTTTAATTGTTTAAAACCCAATCATCGAGCAAAAGACTGTCAGCAATCCGTGTTGTGTGAAATTGATGGCTGCAAGCGACGTCATCATAGAATTCTTCACAACACAGAACCTGATGCTAAACAAACATGCTGTAATTCTACTTATTCTGCTGGAACGTATTTAGGATTTGTGCCAGTCAGGTTACATGGTTCCACAGGACATGTGGATACCTATGCATTATTGGATAATGGCTCAGACTCGACACTATTGCTTAGTGATGTGGCAAAGCAGGTAGGAATTTCAGGTACAGTGACAAGATTGAACATATCTTCTGTAATTGGAGCGTCATCTCAGAACGCTGAACTTATTAATTTCGAAATCGAATCTTTAGACAAGACTAATCGAATCAAAATCGAAGGTGCATATGCTATAAACAACCTACCTATTAAAAGGGCAGAAATCCCACCAACGGACTTCCAAGAAAGATGGAAACGCTTGAAAGGTGTACAGCTACCCACCATAGCTTGTGACAAGGTTGGTTTGTTACTTGGTGTTGACGTTCCAGAGGCCCACTGGGTTATCGACCAGTGTATCGGGAAACCTAAACAACCCTATGCATCACTAACTATGTTAGGATGGGCCTTATTTGGACCGACAGGTCAACTTGATAAAACTTCAGCCTTCATAAACTGTTTAGAAGCAAAAGGTTCCGTCGAGGAGGATATTCTCAAATTAGTTGAACATGAATTTTCTGAAAATAAGTACTCTGATAAAGTTGCCATGTCCCTATGTGATAAGACCATTATGGAAATTACTGACAAACAAACAGTATTGCTTGATGGACATTATCAAGTGCCGATGCCCTGGAAAGTGGATTGGGACTCACTTCCAAGGAGTAGATGTAGTTTCATCATAAGCAAGTCTAGAATAGCACCCCTGAAATTTGTCAGTGTTTCTCGTCTTGAACTACAAGCCTCAGTACTGGCAGTGAAGTTGATGAGGCAAATAGTAGAAGAATTAAAGCTAAAGGACATGACTGAAATCTACTTCTGGACTGGTTTTATAATAGTATTAAATTACATACTTAATACGACGTCACGTTTCAAGTATGTAGCATCATCCATCAATCTTGCTGATCTAGCTTCCAGAGGAATGTGTAAGTATGACCCTAACCGTATTAAAGCTTGGCCTTCAGGTCGCGAGTTCCTAACGACTGAGAAAGATAAGTGGCCTGAGTATAGACGAGAAGAAATATTAAAACTCCCAGTCAAGCTAGAGTTAAAGAACGCCACAACCTTGGACACCATGACTACAGTTTTTCCTCTTGATAAATTTATATCCCATTTTTCGTCATGGATTAAACTCAAACAAGGCACAGCTTGGCTCATCAGATTCAAATGTCACCTCTACAATAAAACGATCGTAAGGGGACTCCTTGCGCCTAACGAATTGGATAATGCCGAAAGAGACTTATTAAAATACATAAAAGCGCAAGACTTTGCGGAAATTAGACAATGGATTAAACGACACAAGCATTCTGATAACATCCTGTCCAAAATTCATGTTATTGATAAGTTACGTCCAATCTTGATTGACAACCTGATTCGCGTAGGAGGACGTTTGAACCGTAGTGATCTCCCGTTAGAGCAAAAACATCCGATTATTCTACCTAGCAAACACCCTATAACGGAGCTTATCATTCGTCACCACCATCAAGCTGACGGACACATGGGGGTGTACTACACACTAGCCTCCTTGCGCAAAGGGTTTTGGATCTTAAAGGGAACTACTGCAATTAAGAGGATCATACAAAAATGTATAGGCTGCTGTATTAGATCAGCCAGGCCGATGTCACAAATGATGGGAGACTATAAGAATGATCTAAACCACAGTTATCTTCACCGACATCACACTCGTTCCGCATTCTTTCAATCAAGATTTGGTGGTTGCATACATCAATTGTTTTCGTGAGATAAGATTCCTGCTTTGTATATTGAATTCCAGCTTTTCGTAGCTTACATACTTTTGAGTCAACACTGAACCATTTGCAACTGGAGTTTGTCTTGGTCTTTCAGTCAATTATTAAAGTTTTTTATGAAGAATCGTAAGTTAGTTTTGCAGCAAAAATAGATTCACTGCAATCCATTTCAAATGCTATCAAACATGTGAAAAAGGTCGTGTTGACAGAATGTCAATTGTAGTTTAATACGAGTTATGGACGGAACTTTACAGTAATAGATCACTCTTTCGGAATGTTTCTGATATTACAAATATGTGTTTAAGTATGTATATGTCGAAGGGACAAACAAAATTGATCAGTTCTCTCATTTTTCAGGCCATGTATGACCACAGATAATAGGCAGCTTGTCTGACAAACATTGTCTTATCAACTGAATTGAACCCATGCATGAAAATAATTTCATTTGCGGTTGCGAAAAATTCATTGATTCTTTTAACGCCACAAAGCGCTTAAACCATAGTTCAGAACGTTCCGATATCTAATACAAACCACTCTTTAATTGCTTTCAGATAACACAACATCGACACAGACGTTGAACTCTTTTTCATATTTATTAACTGCGTATGCACACTCACTTCGTCATAATGCACATTCACTTATATATTATAATTCAGCACACAATCCACAGCATAATTAGACAAACCAGTTTGTATACCTTTCACAAAGTCATGATGCTCTTTCTTAGCTTAAGACTCAGAAAAGAATATTCATAGGAACTTTCTCGAACTTCCCGACGGTGTAAATTAAAGTAGAGATAATATATGTATTCATTTGAAAGAAACACATTTTCATACTATGAATTGTATAATAATACAGCATATTGTTTATTTGCAAAATTGATAATCAACTATCTCGGATTTCATGTGTTCCTACATTTCCACATCAATTGATTTCTGTTCTTATCCTTTCCCCCCCTTTTTTGATCTTTTAAACATTGTGCTACCAGATATTCTTATGTTCACCATCAATAAAATATTGATTTATTGATTGACATAGCCATGTTAAACGAAAAAAGAACAAAAACGAAATTATGTTTACCCTAGTGACAATGAACTAAATCGAACTTAACATTGTTATTTTACAAAAGTAATAAATAATGCACAATTGTTACCTATCATCAATAATGATTTGTACTGATCGTTGAAATGAATTAACATCACGAACTAATACAACCTCGAAAACCACTGAAAACCATGAAGTATTGAACCGCGGTTCATCTTAATCTGTGACAGCTCAGCAAAAGCAGGTTGATTGTGCCACATCACCCGTTAACTGATATCAGTTAATAAATCGTTGTATGCTGTGTCAGTGGTTTAAGGGTATAATACAGTTCACAGGATCTAAAGCTCGTCACTTCAGTTAACGGGCATTATTCCTACTTCTATGATCCGATGTAATGCTTTTCTTCCATTTGTTAAACTTGGCTTACAACAGTCAAATTAGTCGGACATTGATGCGTTTGCTGATGAGTTTGTAGTAATTGAAATATAATAAATTTATAATCGAGCATATGATGATGATGATGATGATGATGATGATTTGGATGATGATTTGGATGATGATTTGGATGATGATGATGATGATGATTTGGATGATGATTTGGATGATGATTTGGATGATGATGATGATGATGATGATGATGATTTGGATGATGATGATGATGATGATGATGATGATGATGATGATGATGATGATGATTTGGATGATGATGATGATGATGATGATGATGATGATGATGATGATGATGATGATGATGATGATGATGATGATGATGATGATGATGATGATGATGTTAATAATAATTGCATCAATCATGCACATTATTGTTATGATGGGGTCCGTTATTTCAATTACAGATAAAGATTTAGTGATAGTCAGTTATTCTTGGTAATTTCAATCATCATTTCTATTATCTAATGAGAACTCAATTTATTTTTATCCGACCGAATAATTCAATAATAATAATAATAATAATAATAATAATAATACAGTGAATGATATGAACACAATTATTTGCGTAGTGAAATACTACTGAAATGTCATTTGATTAGTTAAAGATTATCGTTCAAACATTCCTTAATCTGGTGAAGTTATAACTAAGTCTCTGGGACGACATTCGTAAAACATGTCCAAGCCACCGAAGTCGGTGTTTCAAGATGGTGACACCAATTGAATTATCGTCTCTGCGCCCGAACACACGATGCCGAACCTCTGCATTACTAACATGGTGTTGCCACTGTATGTCAGCAATCCTTCGGAGACAACGATGATCGAACACAGAGAGACGTCTAACATCCTCAACTCGGAGAGGCCAGGTTTCACAAGCATAGAGCAAAACTGCTCTCACCGACGCGTTGTAGATCCGACCTTTTACAGCCAGACTAACATCACGAAGGCGCCAAAGATGGCCCAGATTGGCATAAGCCGCTCTGACTTTCCTTATACGTGCATCGATCTCATCACTCACGCCACCACCAGCACTTATATAGCTACCTAGATACACGAATTTCTCAACTACTTCAATCTGCTCACCATCCAGGGCGAGTACAGGATTAGAATCCTGCCAGTCTTGTAGGAGTACTTTGCATTTCGAAGGTGCAAAGCACATGCCGTACCTGAGGACACTGATTGCCAACTGATTGAGTGCGGATTGCATGCCTTGGGCATTATCGCACAGTAAGACAATATCATCCGCATACTCAAGGTCGCGAAGTCGTTCTCCAGGCAACAGATCCACACCGCCATTACTTACATCCATCAGAGCTGCTTCCAGGATGTCGTCGATGGCAAAGTTGAAGAGGAATGGTGAGATTGGGCAACCCTGCCTAACCCCACTGCTCGAATGGAACAAGGGAGAAAGGTGGTTGTATGCCCTCACTCTGCCTGAGGTGTTCGTATACAGGGCCTTTAAGATGTTAATGAACTTCTCAGGCACACCCTTCTTCAATAGACAATCCCAGAGAACAGTCCTGTCCAACGAATCGAAGGCAGCCATGATATCAAGAAACACTACGATTGTTGGCCTGCGATAAGTATGACGGTGTTCTAACATTTGGCGGAGGGTGAAGATGTGATCAATGCATCCTCGACCAGAACGAAAACCAGCCTGCTCCTCGCGAGTCAATCGTTCTCGGGTTTTAAACAACCTACGAAGAATGATAGAAGCCAATAGTTTGGACGCAATCGAAAGTAGACTTATCCCCCGATAGTTATTGCAGGAACAACGTGAACCCTTTTTAAAGATAGGGACGACTATTGACTCATTCCATGATGTTGGAACACTTTCTTGCTCCCAAACCTTTCCAAACAACACAGTCAAATCCTTAGTCAGAAAGTCACCACCATCTTTAAAAAGAGCCGGAGGTAAGTCATCTGGGCCAGGTGATTTGTAACGTTTCAAGAGTTGGAGTTCCTTGCGGACTTCCGCCTCGTTTGGTGGATCAGTCGTCACCGGCCATGGGGGGCAGGACAAGCTGGATAATGTTGCCGGAGCAGCAGGCCAGTTGAACTGCCCTTCGAAAAATTCCGCCCATCGTCCAAGACGCTCCGACCACCAGGCTTCCCGGTCCTTACGCAGGCTTTGCCCGATTTCATTACGTAACAGCCTTCGTTTGTGGTCAAACTCACGGTCACCCGGAGTAGACCGACCGGCTTCCATCAGTTGTAAGGAGCCAGAAGAAACCCAGTGCTTGTAAGCGGGACGTTTTGCGAAGCCGCAAGCGGTTTTACTCGCCATTTTCATGACGTCGTGAAGATGCAACCAATGCTCCTCTATACTTTTCGGTGGGGTGGTAGCTAGCCTAGAGGCTAGCTCCGCTCGATACTTACTTGCAACAGAAGTTGCAGCCAATTTACTAATATCAATCCGTTGGTGGTGGTCAATCCTTCGGCCACTGAAAAGTAAGGTGAGATTGGCGCAGACCAGGGCATGATCAGACTCCAGATAGGTACTCCAAAAGGAGAGGCAATCTTATACACAACCACGCCAGCGGTAGCTGATCGCGATGTGATCAATCTGAGTCCAGGCTTGGGATGCAGAGGGAGGACGCCAGGTAGCACACCGGCGATGACTGTGCCGGAAGTTAGTGCTGGCCAGAAACAGGTTGTGGTCTGTGCACAGTTGCAGCAAACGGTCCCCGTTATCTGTCCTGCGACCAACAAGTCCCCATCGGCCACCTAGACGACTCTCTTCTGTGCGTAGACGCCCGACCTGTGCATTTAAGTCTCCGGTTAGTACTACAATATCTGTCGAACGCGCTTTCTGGAGAAGAACTGTTAACTGATGGTAAAACTCATCCTTGATTGCATCCGGGCTGCAATCTGTCGGGGCATAGGCGGAGATGACGAAAAGACACCGTTTCTCACGCCAATTTCATCTCACTTTGATGGAACTTTATAATCTAACGGCACATAACCGACTGTTAATGGGATCCAATCGATTAGTGCTGCCACAGCTTAGTGCGACACCAACGCCAGCAAGAACAGACGAAGATGCCACAGAGTCCCCGGATAAGCGCACGTGGAACAAGCTTTTCGAGGCGACAGATGGAGAGCGGATTTGTAGTACTTCACTAGAGTCTTGAATACGGGTCTCGGATAGACAACAAACATCAACATTAAGACCTTCCAAAGACATAGCCAGCCCTATCTGTTGTCTGATCTGCATTAGTGTGCGAACGTTGAAGGAAGCCAGCTTGAACGGCGTACGTGGTTTCAGAAAGACAGCTTCAGTATTCATTATCGGTGGAAGCATTCACTTTCAACCAGACAGTGACTGGAGATCGTTTAGATAGTAAAGATTTTCCACCATGGGCGAGCTGCTGCATAAGTTGAAAAGTAAGGTTACACAAATTGGGGATAAAAGGGGGTGAATTAGCGATATGGTAAGTAATAATAATAATAATAATGTAAATTGTCTTGCTTCTAATATGAGCAGGAATAGAATCGTCAATAGAGTTCATCATTTGATTCATTTGTGTGTGGGCTGTGATACTGCCCGGGTGCCCAAACCGAAGCAGGTGGTTTTCTTAGGGGGCCACACCCCGAGCCTTTGACCAAAAGGTCCGATCCACAAGGCAGTGGAGCATCGTGAGGAGATGCAGTCCCATGGTAGCCGTTGACCAATGACAGGTTCGTCCGCCATTCGTTCCATCAGGATACTGGAGCCCATGTGCACCATTGGTTTGGAATCAGGGTTTTCCAACTCCCCTAGGTGGACCCTCCGTGTCCACCAACCCGGTTAAAGCGCCGGATATTCGCTTTTCGTCCTCTCACTTTCGTAAACAACACCCCCGCCACGAGAAGGCAGTGAGTAGGACTTCCCTGGCAGGGCCTATATATTCGCTGGCCATGTGAGAGCATTTCGAGAGGGAGAGTAGACTCTCCCCACTCTCGGCCGTACCAGGGCATTTGGGGGCTGTTCGATCGATAGAACTAACCAATCAACTACGACTATAATCGACTATCGTGGTTCCTTAACAAGCATTAGCAGCATGTAAATGCTCCTGTTTAATATGTCTGTTAAAATATCAACCACTCGTAAGTATAGACTCAAGGCAACACGAACGGATATCTGTTTGCAAATTATTCACTTGTATAACCAATACAGGATTAACTGTCGATTATAAATTCATCTTTCTGCTTAATCACTATCAACTAACTACTATCAGAAACTACCTACAAGAATATTTTACTTTCTTGACCACTGCCTGCCTAATTTTCAATTGCTGAGTTCCATGGTGAATCAGAGGATACGAATGCTAGAAATTTACAGTGAGTTTGAACTATAAATTTCCTGCAATATTAGATCTTGTTTAGACTGTTTCGCCAGGCAATGCTACGTGTTTGGCTCAAATTAAATTTGGACGTATACCAATTCAGTCTACAACGCTTCGTTAATCTACGAATTTAATCAACAAATTTCAATTACTTGGGAGCAAGAGTAACCCAGGCGAGTTTCGCAATTGAGTTAGTTAATTTCGTATAATGTTTATGATGTCTAATAACATTTCGCGGCTACTTTCACCTAGAGTAGTCATACATTCTGTCACTGCCGTCAAATTTTAGTCGAAACTATGTACATTTATGACTCGTAAGTCAACATATTCCGAAAAAACGTATTTCACGTACACGGGAAATCTTAGTCCATGTCTTAATGAGACAATTCGTCGTACTTGATGTCACTCAGCGCTAGATAATATGCTTTTTACGAAACGATCACGTTATCTAAACCTAAACTTTAGTTACATTGGTGGTTACCATTTAAATTAATGTTTACTATGCGCTTTGTATATGCTGTTATCTCACACAGTAAATCATGGCTCGATTTCCTTATTGCACGAAAGTCACTTTAATTCCGTCTTCGGCTTATTCACATGCAATACGGGTTTGGAAAATAGCTAAACGTCCTCTGAAATTCTCCACGAACCCCACGATAGTCTTCGTATATGTTTGCTACTGCACATCCAATTGCTACGTAAACAATGCCCAAACGAACGTTCAGTACAATTGTCAGTATACGAAATGATGTTACTTCGATGTGACATTACAACACATCCGAACTATTGTAGTTATTCAAATTCGACGTCGTATTTTTTCATCTTGTGAAGTATTGTTTCCGCGTGACTGTTATCTAATAGATGATTTCGGTACATCAATCGGCTGTTCAACTACTCGACGATATTGTCGTCTCGACCCCAACACTGACAGCATTTTTCATCGATATCATTGACATGAGTCCAGAGTGACACTCTTGGTTTCTTATGTTCTTTTCGACATTTTTCGGTTCACTCATCAAACACATGTGCAG